AGGGGCAAAAAAAAAGTCCTTCCGCCATTTTGGGGCCGGGGAGATGGCTCAGTGGAATAAGTGCTTGCCTGGCAAGCGCAAGGGCCTGAGTTCAATCCCCAGCTAAAAAAAAAAAAAAAAAAAAAAAAAAAAAAGGCTTACCCTGCGCATCACTTCAGTCCTACCCCATAAGAGGGGGAGGGCCGGGGAGGGGAGCGGAGCGGGGAGGGCTGCAGCTGAGGACACTCTGGTCCTTCAGCGCAGTTCACTTGAGTTCAGGCATGGACACTGTAGCTTTGTGACATCAGTCCTGAAGGTCCTTGGCCACAAGCTTGGGGTGCTGGCAGCAGCTCCGCAGAGTGAGACGTGACCATCCCCACGGGAGAACTGAGGCACTGTGGAGCGGCCCAAAGCTGAGGGTGTGAAGACCTGATGGGTGCTGCTTCATCTTCTTTCAGTTTGTGTGTACGACCCTCTCTCTGGGCTTAGGCGGCGCCCACCCCTCCCACAGGCAGCCCCCTTACCTCCTAGGCAGGCACCAAGGGCCAGGGCGTACATGAGTGGCGTGGCCGGCAGGCTGACCCCAGGGTCTCGGCTCAGGCTCAGGAGCACAGGAGTCTGTGGGCAAAGGATGTTGTTGTGTCTCAAGAAACTCACAAGAGCTGCGGCTCTGATTCACCACATCCAAGGCGCTTTCCCGGCAGTCGGACTGCGAGGACCACAGCACGCATGGAAGGAAACCAAAGTGACCTGGGCATGCACACAAACTGTGCCTCCCTGCCTCCTCGACCAGTGGGCCCCTGCAGCTGCAGCTGCCCCCTCCCCAGCTGCTGCAGGTGCAATGGGCTCAAGTCACAAGAGCCTGCAGCAGCGTCTGGCTCTACAACAATCCAACCAGCATTTCCGAAGTCTGTATGCACACACCATTTTAGTTAACTCTCAGACATCTTTCGTGTGAGTCTGGTATTCCTTCTACCAACAGAGGAGGACACAAGGATGCACAGAGGCCCAGGAGCACAGACCTGGGCTAAGCTCTTCCCATCTCTGCCGCGCCAGGCACCCCAAGCCCAGGACACTCACAAGAGGACAGCAGACACCATCTGCTGGCATGCAGAAAGCTAGTGAGTCACGGGAGCTTCCGCCACGCCTGTCTGACAGAGACGAATTTCACATTATCTTAACCAACAAGGCCGGCATGGCAGTGAAAGGCATCTAAGAGATCAGTGCTCAAGATGTGCTGCTCCTGAACCTCCTGAGTGCCTCGATAGGGGGCGTTTGCTGTCCTGCATCTTTGGGCCATGCCATGATTACTCTTCGCCCAGGCTGTTGATCCCCCAAATGTGCCACCTGTGTGTGCGGAGTCATGGAGCCAGGAGCCTGCCGGCCGATGGCTAGTCCATGGGACAGAGAGAGTGAAAGAACCTCACCCCTGGGCACTGAGAGGGCGGCTTGGGCACCACCCCAGGCACAGACCTGTGACCCACATGGTTGGTCACATCCAGGGCACTGCCTCGGGGCCAGCACTGGGCTGATGCAGGAAACGGCAGCTGCCCCGTCTCTGGCGCCTCTGCCGCCCGCACCATGGCACAGTCAGACTGGGGCCCGAGGGATCCCTGCAGAGCCTGGGCTTCACACTCCTGCTGTTGCTCACGCTGTCTGCCCAAAGCACAACCCACTGGCCCTGGTGCAGCCTTCTGTATTATTCTGTACCTGAATGAGACAGGATGAACTCAAATGACATCGAATAAAATGCAAGTGTTAAAATTAAATGCTGAGTTTCTCCCATGCCAGGTGTCACAGCCACCAGCAACGCTTTTCCTAATGCCTCCTGGTGGAGCCTAGAGAGAAGCCCAGGAGATGCAGGGCAGCCTTGAAGAGGTGACTTCCACACAGAAGTTGAATGACAACACAGACAATGGAGGGTGTCCTCGGAGCTTGTCAAAGGAAGCTCACAAAATCATGTGCATAAATCATCATGCTTTGAATTCAAAACCAAGATAAGAATAGTAACATTTCAACTTGAAAACTGCCGGAGAGCCCTTTCTATTTAAGCCAAGGAGGTTGGAAAGATCAAATGTCAGTGAAAAAAGCCTGCCAGAGAATTCTGCCAGAGATTTAACAGTGTGCTTGGGGTTCCCAGAGTGGGCTTGAGGCAATGCAGCAGATGCGAGAGGCGCAGCCGCAGATGCAGCCCGCAGCTCCTCGTCACCTGAGTCAGGCTGAGAAGGCAGAGGGTGGGCAGGTGACAGAAGTACGCACTGAACGGCCGAGCGTGGAGAGCCATGCCGCGAGAGCCCGCCCCCTCACCCTCTGAGCCCCTTGGCCTCCTGCTGCCCCAAGTGACAGCCATGCGCGTGCAGGGCAGACAGGGGCTGCAAACTGCCTGCTGCTATCTCCCTGTCTGCTCTGATTGGACCAAACAGAATGAAGCACTGACATCAAGTTGACGTAGCAGTGTTAAGTATTACCTAAGATGTCATTGTTAAAGATAACTAAGGTCCACATGAAGGGAAGGGACGAGGGCAGGGAAACAAGGAAGACCTAAAACAGCAAATCTCCTTTCCCCCAAATCTCGGGGGTCCCCCACGACCTGGCTTTGCTCTGCTTAGATGGTTCCCCGAAGCCCCATCCAGCCAACTAGAAGAGACAACCCCATCTGTGATCTAATTCTTTCTACTCTGCATGTGGCAGCAAGGTAGAGCTTCCATGGCGACCCTACCAGAATGGAGGAAGGCTTTGGCAGGCCCTGAATTGCTTGGCACCCTGCCTTGGCTGACGAAAGAAGGGAATGTGGCAAGCCTGCACTTCTGGGTGCTGCAGACAGCAGAGCGGCCAACACAAATGTAGGAGAAACCACTGCAAACCAGTAGCACGCTTTGGAAGGGCGTTACCCCCAAGGGCAGCACAGGCTTCACTTTGTCTCTTGAAATGCACAGCCCTGGGACAAAGGCAGAGAACCTTCTAGGGAAGCCGCCCTCCCAGGCCTGCTGCTGTCCTTAGCAAGCTCTGGCCCGCCTCCACAGCTCTCCCCAGATGTCCTGTCTGCCAGCCTGTACTGGGAAGACCCCCTGCCCCTTCCAGTTCTGTTCACAGTGAAAGGACCGTGCAGCCACACAGGATTAAATCTCTGTGGACACCCAGCCTCAGTCAGAGCTGCACTGTCACAGGCAGAACACAGGCAGCCATGACAGTAGGAGCCTGAGTCACCGTGCTCCTGAGAGCCATCCTCCTGCAACATGTCCTTTAGTCCTTTCCTCCCACTGAGCCCTGAGCAGGCTTCCCAAGCATGTAGACCCTCAGGATGCTGGATGGAGCCGGCCACAGAGACAAGCTGAGAAATCACACTCCAGTGACCTGACCCCTGCAGACCCACACGAGCCAGCCCAGGCCACCACGGCTTGGGTGGCGAGGATACAGCAGTGCACTTCTTTCTACTCCAGCAGAGGCACAGGGCACATGGACAGACACACACACACACACAGGACTCTCTGCAGGCAGAGACCTAAGGACTCATCTATGTACTGCATCTATCCACAGGCAGAATCAGTGCGGGATGTCACGATATGTTTGACTTCACAGTGAGGCGTCACCTCGCCTGATGGGGTGGGGACTGCGCTGGGAGGACTTTCTACATCTGTGGGTGAGGAGACAGTGAGGAAGGGGACAAGAAGAATGGTTAGAACCCAGGGACACAGACTCAGGCGGTCACGCTCCAGGGGCAGGAACGTGCCTTCGGGTGCCGGCTACCCCAACAGCAACAGTCTCGAGGTACTCGTGCTCTTCCTGGTGCTCCCCAAGTGCCAAGCACAAGCAGTGCACTCAGCCGTCCCTGAGATCACTCACAGACACAGCGCTGCCCAGCTGTTCCCGGGCACCTCCCAGCAACAGTGCCTACCCGGCCCAGCAGCCACGGAAGAGAAAGGAGGCTCCGGACAGGGGCCACTGCCTGCTGGGGCACACAGGCTTGCCTGCTGTGGGGCTGCTGCCTGGGTGTGATGGTTGGCGTCAAAGGGTCCTCCCACTGCCTCGTGCAGTCATAGGGCTTTCCAGAGTGGCTGCATCTGGAGTGTGCGGTGCAGGCATTAGGGCTGCACGATCAGCTCGCGGCCCGGTTTGGCACCCCCTAATCCCAGCAGCCTAGATGGGGTGCTGAAGGTGCAGAAACACACTGCCAAGGTTGGCTGTTGACTTTGGCCTCATGTGCTGTTGTCCTCTGCAAATCCACCCTGCCCTGTGACCAGCTGATTATGAGCTGAAGCCTCTACAAACCCTAAACAACCCTTCCTCTCTTAACGGTAGGCATTGGGTATTTTGTCTCAGCAATAAGCGAAGAGCTACTAAGGCACCAGGACAGAGGGAGACATTAAGAGCAGTATATGCAGAGACACCCCCATCCACTGAGCTGCAGGCTGTCTCGGATGGTGAGGCCCAGCAGGGAGGATGGGCAGTGAGAGGCTCTGTAGCTCTAAGGGACACGGTGGAGTCCCAAGGGGACCAGCTGCCCTGTGTCACGGGGGCTGGTGCATGGCAGGCTGACAGTGTGCATGGAAAGTTACTTTAGACAATCAACCTCGCAGCCAATCCGCTCTTTATTCACCTGTGAGTACATGCTAGATAACTTCTTTGCGCCAAACAGCAGGCTGGTAATGAGGACATGAACGTGAATGGACGGAGTTCCCAGAACATCACTGAATATTCTCAGCTATGTGACTGGGGAATAACTAGGTGGAGGTGTCAGCAAAGCACCATGAGCCCAGAGGACAAGTCAAACCCCACCTCGAGGAGAAGGCATTTAAGCGCAGAGAAGGAGACCCAGAGGCTTCTCCTGTGTTTTGCAAACTCTCCTTTACGAATCCTGGCCCCAAGACAGAAGCTAGAAATGCCCTTTTTCTCCTCCTCTGCAGCAGAGAATTTGGGCTCCTCCCATCAGACATGGCACTCCAGAGGCCTGGGCAGGAACCCAGGGCTCCAGGAGGCAGCCTCGTCCCACTCTCATTATGCCCGAGAGGAATTCTCAAGAACTCCTAGAAATACCACTGTCCCCAGGGAAGTGCCTTGCTCCTTAAACCAAGAGGGGCTCTATTGACTTGTCAGCCAACAGGCAGGAACTTTTGCCTGTGCTTGAAAGGAAAGAGGTTGCAATCCCTTAAAAAGACTGACCATCCATTCAGGTTGTTTCTGGTTTTTAGCTAAGGCCCGCCACAGACACCTGCCCAAACCACAGAACTGCTCTCCTAAGGAACCGAGAGGGAATGCTGCTCATTATAGTCACATCGAATGCTGCAGGCCCCCCCAGGAAGCACTCCCACAGCCATGCTTGAGGATGTGCGCAGGGAACAGTGAGCTCACACTGAGCATGCCCAGTGACACCCCGCCTCTGGACGTCATGATGACAGGTCCAGGGTGGCCAGCAGCCCTGGCCTTCTGCGCTGGAGAGGAGATGCTGCTCAGGAGATGCCCCAGCGCTCCCTTCTCTGTACACGTAGTCAGCGTTCTCCACACCTTGTCTCCTGGGGGTGCTTATTGGCTTTGCACTCACCCATCACATTTCCTTCCAGACTAAAATGCTGACACTGTCTTGCACATTGTGGACACAATGGTCTCCACCAAAACAATAGGAACGAAGTCATCACCTGCTCAGATTATCTGCTCCGAGTATTAAGAAGCTACTCACATGTTGCCATAAAACACGCAGCTGAAACTATTCCTTTAAAAAAACATTTAAAGACTGAAAATAAAGAGTTGGCAACAACATAAAGCAGGCAGAGGTTCTGAACAGAGATGGAGACCCTCTGCAACATGAAGAAAAGGACGTAAAAGGCAAGCCTTGAACGTCTAACACAAAGAAAACGATGGAAAAATGTACCGGGCACAAGAACTAGAGCAACTTACAGAACAATCTGCCCCACCAGAACCAGTTACCTAAAGGCAGTGCGTCAGCCTGAAGCCGTGACTGCAGTGTGTGGGCGCGTGGGTGTGTGCCGCACTCTGTCACATGCCACACACTTGGGGACACTGGAATATCCTGTTCTCTCTCTGTTCAAGCTATTTGTTTTATTTTTAAGAAATGAAGCAATACAAAAGCAAAAGCAAACTGTGCTGTCCCTTGTCGCGCCGGCTGGCCTGCAGGGTTGTTTGCATTTTCCCCTGTCCTGAGAGAAGGACCTCCCCAGCTTGGAGTCACATCTGTCACTCTGTAAGGGCTGAGGGAAGGCCCTACATGTGTCAGCCTGAAGGGACACGGAACACTGAGTGACCAAAGCAGAAACAATACACATAGGCTGACATGCAGATTTTCAAATCATGCGGCTAGAGCACAACCGTCCACTAAACATCAGAGCCTTTTGACAACAGCTTCTGACCACATACTGCTGAAATTAGGGTCTCCAAGAGACAGCTGAATCTACCCGCTCATTTCTTAACAAACCATAAACCTTGAACAAAACCAGATAAAAGATGCATATTTCCTCATGCTGAGTGGTAAAGGCATAGGAGCCACCTGGTCCCCTCTTACTGTAGGTTTGTTCTGCACAGCTTCATTACCCAACACCAACCATGATCCAAAAACACACAATGGAAAACACTAGAAATAAACAATTCACGTTTTAAATAACTTTCACATTGTTATGAGTGTTCCATCTTATTATTAGTTATCGTTGTTAATCTCTTATAGAACCTAGTGTATAAATTAAATTTTACCTTAGCTGCATATATATATATAAGAAGGCACACAGTATAATCACATATTGCTTGGTAGTCCCTGTGGCTGCAGACCCTCCTGATGGGCTTGGAAGATGCCCCTGCAGGGAAGGGAGGGCGACCCCATTTGCTGCAGTATTCTCTGATTCCTTGATTCATATTTTAAAGTTAAGCCACAGATAGCTGTTAAAATTTGGGGAATGAAAATGTGAAAAGTGTCTTATTTTTTAAAATGGAACAGCCTACATTTCCAACACTAAGTCAGGCCCAGAGGGATCTGGGTCGGAAAGCCTTGAAGTGTGGCTAGAGAGCCAGGCCTTTCACCTGCGAGCGCCTGAGGCAGAAGAAAAAGTGAGTGAGCGCGTGATGAGCCTGGCCCTGCGCTCTGCCCGGGATGCCCCAGGGTGGGCTCGGGCTTCGTGGTCAGTGGGGGATGTGCAAAGCGAGCTGACCTTGCCTTGGGAGCCAGGCCCTGGAGCAAGAGCTGTCCCACTAGCGTCCGTCCGGGGAGGTGCAAAACACTTAGCTGAGCCAGGGCCTGGGACTCGCGCTCAGACGCCACTGTAACCTGCAGTTATGCCAGAACTTCATTTTCTATTAGTGTGCCACTGCTACATAGAAATACCACTGATTTTTGAACTAATTTTTAAGTCTAGATTCCCTGGTAAATTGATTAATTATAACAGCGAATAAATGTATTCTTTTGGATTTTCTAAGAACCCAGATTCATGTTCTGTGTAAGCAGTAAAAGCTTTCATTTCTTCTTTTCCAGTCCTTGAAGTTCTTACTTCTCTTCTTGTCCAACAGCACAGCCTCCGGCCTCCAGGACATGGTTTTTATAGGTGATTTTGTCTTCCCTCACTGCAGGATTGCAAGACGCTCCACATTTCACATCTAACTGTACTGTGCGCTCTACAGCTGCTCCGCATGGGACCTCTGGCGGGCCCTCCTGCGTTCTTCGCTTCCTGCGTCCTGCAGTTCCAGCTCAGCTGCTAGGACGTGTCTCCGCTCTGCTCACTGCCGCTCGCGTGCTTTGGCACCACCCCTTCCTCACACCGTGTGATTCTCTCCTCGGGCTTCTTGCTGCTGCAGACGGGACACTTCTTTCACAGAACTTTGGAGCTGACTGACACAGAGAGGACCCATTATTAGGGACACACGGGGGCTCTGAGGTTCCTGACTGTCCTTCTGGTGTGGTCAGGCAAGGCTCAGGCAGCGGCTGCACATGGCCACGGTAGGCCCTGCGGCACTCTTGCATTTTCTGTGGGAAGCCTTGGAGAGCACAGGGTCTGTGGACAGGCAGCTCCAGAGCTGCTGTGAAAGTCAGAGGACAGGCTCCGCCCACTGACCAGGAGGCTGTGCACTTGGTACAGGTCTCACTACGCAGCTCGGGCTCGGAGTGATCTCCTGTTCACAGCGTCCCCAGCACTGGGATTTAGGCATGCGTCACCACGCCGGGTCTTGGTGGCCGGCTCAGTGTGCCCAGGGCCAGGGCCAGCATGGCACGTCATGTCAGGGATCAAACCCGGGTCCCTGAGCTTGCCTCATCAGGCGCTTAAGCTATCTCGCTGGCCCCATCCTTTAGACTTCTTTTCGGTATACTAGGGGCTATCATGAGGCATATGTGTAGCTCACATCAAGTCTGCGTGGCGAATCAGCCCTCTTATCGGAACAGAAGCCCTTTCTTAAGTGCTCTTTCTCTTGAAATTTATCTTGCTCATCATTTTTAAAGTCACAGAAACGCTCCTACGCCTAGTGTCGTAGGCCAGCTCCTCACCCATGCTTCTCTCAGCTTGGTTTTATATTTAAAGTGTATTTCTTGTAAAGAATGTAGAATTCAGACTCACTTTTAAAATTGAATGTGCCCATCTCTGCCTGAAGTGTTTAGGTAAGCACTGTAGAAAACAATTGGTTTTACTTTACCCTTCAATCTTTTATTTCAGAAGATACATTTTTATATTCGTATTCCTGCCTCTTCCACAAAAGGTAACTGCCCCTAAACACTGCTCTCTATGGGGTTCCTCCCAACACTGGGACTCCACAAAAAGATGAGAGCAGCCACAAAGGCAGATCAGGCGTCCTGAGGCAGACTCTGGCAGAACCAGGGGCAGCGCCTAGGGGTGAAACGGCAGACAGCGTGAGTTCAGGTCGGCTCGCTACAGATCTCCAGGTCCTGGCCGCAGACGCTGCCACACGCCTGGGCCACCCTTGCCCCGCTGCCAGCACTGCACCTCTTACCTTGGGTCCCTTGTCCCCCACATGACTCAGGATGATGGGGTAGCTTGAGAACTGCCTCTCCACTCACAGGAGAGATAGGGTGCCCCCAGACCCCTGCAGGAGTGTACCCCACACTACTGACCCTGTGCCCAGTGCCCCGAAGCATTTGTAAAGGAGCTGAGGTCTGGTACACACACCCTGCTCCCACCTTCACTTTGTGCCCCTGAAGTTCACAGTCAGTCCCTGTCCCCACCCAGGCCAGTGGAGACAGCGACGGGGGGCAGCAGTAGCCAGCCCGAGGAGAAGCCTGCCATGGGCACGGCCAGTGTGCACCGGGACCCAGGCACAGACACAATCAGCCCTCCCTGGGCAAGCCAGAAGCCGCCCAGCCAGCTGGAGTGGCTTCTGCGCTCATAGGAAATAAAGCTAAAAATCCCTCTCTTTTGATGTCTCAAATATTTCTTTGTCAAGTTCGGAACCAATTTTTTGCCTCTTTACATTCACTATATTCCCACATGTTTGCTGTACAGAGTGTAACAATCCCATCCATCATGGCATCCCAGAAGCGCAGAGCGCGTCTTGGCTCAGCTTTGTTTCTGCCCCTTGTCCTCTCTTCCCTGCCCCTCCCGCTCCAGGTCCTCTTCCCATCGCAGAGGATCTATCTCCCTATCTCGTATTACCTTTTTATTTTATTTTGCTTTTTAAATGACTTACACTGCGCACTTCCCATATGATAGAGGCGGCGTGGTCCTGAGCAGGGTGACGCCAGAGCAGCCAGTCACCAAGGACAAGCATGGTGAGTCACCAAGGACGAGCATCGTGCTGGCTGCAGCGCTGGGCCCCGCCGAGCTGCATCCAGCTTCCTGCTAACTGCTCCTGCCCAGCTGCCCTCGGCTGTGTCCATGTCGCCCTCTGATTCACAGATGGCGGTGAGCGAGCATGTTTCACGCTCTGCTTCCGCAGAAGGAAGGGCAAGCCCGGGCTGCGCGCCGGCAGGAGTGGAGCCCTCAGGCTCACGGAAGCACGCAACTCACCATGGTGGCAGTGAACGGGATGTTATCGATCAAGGACGATGCCAAGGCTGAGACCCACATCACCAGGACAATGGCCGCGGCCAGGCGCCGGTCCTCTGGGACCATCTGGAGGGAGGAGATAGCGGTCATGCTGCACACCAGCAGCTCTTGTCAGCCCTCCCACCTGAGGGTACAGCTCTGTGGCAGGCGAGACTCAGCGGGCACCGAGGGAGAGGGAGCCCTTCCCCGGCCACACAGCAGGACCAGGGCGCAAGCACAGGGCAGAGCCACACAGCCAGCCCAGGAGCTGCGGCTGGGCTCTACCAGCAACTGAGTGGAGAATTCCCAGGCCAGAGGCAGGCAGGGCAGTGCCCCTTCTCCACACCCAGGCCGGTGGCCACAGTGCAGCACAGAGCCTTCGTCCTGACTGATCCAGGGACTGGGCCTTTAGCGGCACTCACTCAACACCTCTGCTCTCATTCTTGGGCTCTATCGAAGGTGATCAGAAAAATAACAGGCATCTATAATTACATGGTTTTTGGGGAAAAGCGCCCCTCATCTCCAGACTAACCAGGATAAAATAGGTTCCCTGCTGTGCTTTTTACATAATTAGCATGACTTATTCTTGATGAATTTTTTTCACAAAAATCTAATAACAGTGGTTGGAAACTCTATTAGAGCAGTGAGTGTACCTTTATCAGCAAAGCAGTCTGCTCCCCGACGTATTCTATCAGGTGGAGGTGTGCCAACGCCTGGAAGAGAGGGAGCACTGAAAATCTGCTTCCGAGTGAGAATAGACAGACACAAGACTTATTTTGCTAAACTGTCTCTCAAATTAAAAGAAGCGAACACAAGCCAGGCCCACATTCTCGTCTGGCGTAAAAGATCAGATTCAAATATCCAGTCTGGAAATAATTTACTGTCACATATCCACACTGAAGGTGCACAGACGCAGAGGCAGGGACTTCTCGCTGGTGACGTCACTGTCCACGGTACATTTAAATCTGAATGAAAGGCGGCCTCTTGCAAGCTCTGGAAGGCTGCTGTGGCTCCGTGCCTGATGGAACGCTGTTCCTCACTAAGGACCTTCGAGGAAGTTGCATTTCCAATTTATGTCAAATATCACACTTTTTTTCATAATTTTACTGATAAAACAGATAGCAATGAGACAGTTTCAAATCAATTCAGAAGGATAGTTTCAATAACCGACACACTGCATATATTCTTCTTAGTGGTTAATTGCTGTACAAGATGCGGACCTGAGATCCTATTTACAACCATCATTAGAACAAATCACTCTATTCATTAAGACAATGTAACTATATATCTATCCTAACCACTTT